CGTCTATCTACGTCATAGTTTTCTGGTTTTCGTTGTATTTTGTGTAATTTTTCTAACTCTGGTTTTTACTGGTTTTTACTGCGATATGCATATTCCTAATGGATGAACTGGTCAATATGTTCATAATAACAAATATTTGTGGAAAGCAAAATTATTTCCTAATTACTTTAGTATAAATCTCAAGAACTTTAATCCCCTTGTTTCTTATTAAAACACGTGTTATAATAATACATCAACGAATATTTACAAAAATATTTGAAAAGTATTATCGTATCTAACGAACAAGCAACAAAATTGTGATTTTTTTCGTTTTAAACCTATTTTTTTTGCCTTTATTCTTGTGTCAGCTTTGTGGATTTCCCCTTTATCCTCTACATTTGATATTGGCTACAAATCAGTGGATGAAAAAATAAACTTTCATTAGAACAATAACTGCTTTTTAACATCCTTTGTTTTAATTTGGTTTTCCAAATGTCACAAATCGCGTCAACGATATCCACACAGTACAGACCAAATTGATAAATAGTATTTGATATTTTTAGAATTTGTTGCCTTGATTTTAAAATTCTTTCCCCGGCATCCTGTATTAAGGCTTTAATTTACTGCCTTAATTTTATTATAAAGCTGTAACTAAACACTCGAATCAAAAATTTATTAATTATTTGGTTTCTGAGACGTTTTTTCTTTAGCCAGGTGTTTCAGTCTCAGGACAATATAAACCAGTGAGAATCTTCTTGATAAGATTGTACTTAAAAAACACAGAAGTTCGTTGAAAGAAGCAGGAAAGTATGCCCAAGGCAGATTTTTACAGACAAGCTCTGCTATTGTACTGTCCAACTCAGAAACCCTAAACTCCAGGGTTTTACATCTTTCATTTGATTGATAATACCGTTTCTGATACTCCTAACACCTGAACATACATCATCAATTTTAATTTTTATAGAGACTTCTTCTTATGAAAACTTGAATTTTACTCCTAAAAGGCTGACAAATCAAGATATTAGTGTAGCAGGAGAAAAAGCAGAGTGCACCCCCCCACCCCGTTCCTTCAAAAGAATAAATTTTCTAAGGCCAATTAATCTAGACTAGCTTTATTTAGAATTTCTAAAAACATGGTGAATACATAAGGTTTTTAAGCATTGATAAGGAAAAAAGTTGCCCCCCAGCTGTCCCCTGTATTCTAAAGAGTTAGTAAGTGTGGGCTAGAAATCAAATCAAAATAGATTATAAACTTTGGTACTTTAAGGGCTTTTCAAGGAGGCTGGGACATAGGAGGCCACTTGTAAAAGGAGAAAAGGATATCTCAGTGTCGCCATTATGGGGGGAGGGGGGCTTGAACGTTCTTTAGCACTTTGATATCAGGGGATGCATAATTATGTTCTGCCAGGATCTATGTAGGGGTAACTGAGGCTGATCTTGGCAAAAACACTTTGGGTTTAGCAGATTTCAATAATTTTTTCTTTCATTTGCTGTGAGGATGTTGGGTAAAATGACGGGAGCAGATAAAAGTTGGAATATTTTCCTAACAGCTCAAAGATATCCATTCTTCACAAACAGAATGGATTCTCATATCAACATTGGCACCATTTGCTGTAAAATTCACCACAGAGCAATATCTCATGCTGCTGTTCAAAATTTACTGTCTGATGTTTACAATTACATATATACCCCGGATCTATGTACACTGGATTTTACAGTTGCCACATCCCGTATGTCACTACTATACCTATACCTACACTGATTCCATTCTGTCCCTGTCTCTGTCCTTATTACAAAACGATAGATTACACACCTTGCTCCGTAATGATTACGGTGAGAGAGTAATTAATCCTCAGTTGAACGAACGAGTTGACAGTTAAGAGAAATTGAGTTGTACCTGGGTAGATACATGTTTGAGAAACCCTTATAAAGTAGGGCATTTACTACAGACAAAGTGTTCAACAATTGAAAGCGTTTTCGTGTATTATTGTGAATAAGTCCGACAACCTTTATCAGCCAAAAGGTACCGTTGTGAATCGGACATTGTCATCTCTTTGTATTGAGAGTCACTTGAGCTCAGTTCGCTTACAGGTCTTTAATAGGAATTTTCTTTTGTAAAAAAAGCAAATATTTGCTTGTAAATAGGTTTAAATTACTAAGAGAAATAGTGGCCTTGCCGTTCATATAAATACATAATATAACCAAATATTTTGGTTAGCATTTTTTACCAAATATATTTTCTTTATCAAAAAGGTTCAACTTTTTTAAGATTATATTTTGTTCCAAATGTTTGTGTTAAAATTTTAGAATGCGAAGATTCCTAGGCTTTGCTGGAAATCTATTTATTGATGTTAGCTATCAATTAGGCGTAGATTTTATTTCATATTTAAAATATTTCATTCGGGGATTTAAGACCTGATTTAATACTTTATATTCGTCATCTTTAAAGTCTGTTCGCTTGATTTCGAGTTCAGCCACAAGTTTTTCGTTCTCAGGTTAAGGGTGCGATTTTTTCCTCAGGTTTAGGGTGCGATTTTGTTCTCAGGGTCAGGGTGCGATTTTGTTCTCAGATTTAGGGTGCGATTTTGTTCTCAGGTTTAAGGTGCGATTTTGTCCTCAGGTTTAGGGTGCGATTTTGTCCTCAGGTTTAGGGTGCAATTTTGTCCTCAGGTTTAGGGTGTGATTTTGTCCTCAGGTTTAGGATGCGATTTTGTCCTCAGGTTTAGGGTGCGATTTTGACCTCAGGTTCAGGGTGCAATTTTATTCTCAGGCATAGGGTGCGATTTTGAGTTTCTGTTAAAATTTGGCCTTTTTTCTTTAATTAAATAGAAAACAATATATTTTGATTGAGGAGTATGAAGCTGTAAAAATTTAAACAGTATAGATTAAAACCCTAGATTATATATTTATGTAGATGCATGTTTCCATTCTCCTGGAATAAGCTGAACCTAGAAGAACAATGCTTGTCTTACAAAATATACAATGAAAGCATAAATGCAGAAGGAATATGAAAAGAAAATGCAAATAATATTTTTATTTATCCCACTATCCTATAATCCTTTAATCTAAGAAAACACGTACAAGTTTTTTCATTCAGCTGACAGTTCCAATAGAAAAGGTAGAGAAATAAAAAATAAGATTTACCTTATACATTTTAATAAAACTTTAAATGAAATTACAATATGCACAATTTCTATCTCTTGTTATTTCGTGAAATACTTCCCCAAAACTAAACCTAGAAACAAGCACTCTATAACTTTAAAGTTGTCATATTTAAGGCTGAACAAGACATGTGCTGATTGTTTTAAACTTCTACCAAGGGCAAATACCTTGCAATCCCACCAAATCCGCCCAGTCTTAATATTTTATGCATATTATTGATATTGTAAAACTTTAAAAGTACAGGATCTTTGGTTGAATAAAAAATGATGTTCTGTATTTTATAATTAAAAGATTTGAGTTTATGAATGAGTAATAGGTATAGCTGGTTCTACTTTCACTTTTAAAGAATAATTGAAAGTGACCCTCCATGCAGCAAGTTAAGCTTTGAATCAGTGCAGTTAAACCAGTCAAACCGAGTTCAACTAAATATCTCAAGTCATAAACTCTCAACTAAGTTATGGTTTGGAGCTTTTAATAAGAAATGGATGAAACCATTATTTTAACTGTTACAATAATAATTTTCCATCTTTTTAATGGATTTCACATTTATATTTTCATAATTCAGATTAATTAAAAACAAATGACCAAAAATGCTTATTTCTATAAAAAGGCTGCATTTTTTTGGAGTTTATTAAATAAATTTAAAATATAAAACTTTTAATCACAACATACATATATAATGACATTTTAACAGTTATTTACATTTATCAAGTAGTTAATATGCTTAAACGTGGTTAATTCAAATGTTTTGTACAATCATATGTTTAAATGCTCTTTCAAATGTATTCAACACCTATTAATTCATTTGTTACTAGAAGCATTGTTATTTTTAACTGGTTGCTTCTGTTTATGTTCACAAGTACAAGTATAGAGAATTGTGAATCAAGAGCTGATAATTAAAAAAAAAACAGATTTGAGAAACTATAACAATTATTTGGTTCGACAAGAAAATAGTAGTTACATAAAGATTAGATATCGGTTACAGACAGCTATTTTTAAAGTGAGGTGATATGAAAATTGACTTTTAGTTTTTATTGTTCTGAGATAAAAAGCGTTTAAAATGTCGCTAAAAAACTGGATAAATTAATAACTAATCAAAATTAGCTTTAAAATTAACCAGTAGTCCAATAAAATGATTGTATTATTCTTTTACCACTGTTTATAGTCAAAAGATGAAAACCACTTTTGTTAAGTTTCATTAAAAAGAAAAATAAACATTCGCATAGCTAGTACATTGTCAAATTTAAATCTAAAGAAGATTGAAATATTTTATTAATTTCAAATGGACATTTATTTACAATAAACACAAGGTTTTCTTTTAACAAATTAGATTTATTATAATGCATTTACTTGTAGAACTTGCCATGAATGTATACATGTATTTAAAACTGTACAGTTTAGAATTGGAATACTTAATATATAATATTTTCAACTGTAACTTAACAAAAGTGTAATCTCTGGATGTTCTTTAGGCAAATGTACAAACTAACACAAATTAGTTTGATAAAAAGAATCACCCCACGAGATTTTATGTTTATAATTACATGTCAAGGTATAATTATATAAAATTTCCGTTTTCCCAGGTAACACAAATGTTTTTAATATAATAGCGGTAAAATCTTAACTAATGTTTTATTACCAACTTTAAATGACAATTTAATGGTCAATTGGAACTTCGGAAGCTACTATTTCAGACTACTTATATATGCCAAAAACTTTTTTTTACAGTGCAATGGCCTCATGAATACAATACAACGGAATCAAAACCTCAAACCAACTTTGAACATTATCTTACATCATTCTAAATCCTCGTTGTATTTTTTGAAGACCACTGTATACTCCGGTCTACATTTCATGAATAAAAGAATACGTTTTATTGACACAGAAGAATCTGACGATTAACAATTATAAACTTCTTGAATATATATTTAGATGAGAATTGTTACTGAGCTGAGAATGAGAAGGGATGAACAGATGTAACTAATGAGTTGGATGAGAGAGTGGGTTTGGATGAATGATGACGAGGATTTTAGTCCCATTTCTCCAATTGTACTCCAGTTGTTATCTGAAACTAAAAAAAGATTAAACGTGTAAATTTATGAATTAAAGTTACTTATTTTATTATTCAGTTTGTTGACATGGATTGTTCTCAAGAATTTAGAATATTTCTTGAAAATGTCTGATCTTGTGTATTTTGTCTTTTTCTCTTCTTTATCTAAAGCCTAATGGCCATTTGAATTCTGTGCTTGGATTAAGATAGTACTGGGCCAGCTAACTGACCTATATTCAGCTAGTATTAAATGTAAATGTGTTCAAGAGATTTTAAAATTCAAAAATATTTGAAATAAAGAGCAGTTTGGGTTTTAACAACACGTGGTTTTCATATTAATTTAACAACACGTGGTTTTCATATTAATTTAGAAATCTACCATGTAATTTTTAAATATTTTCCACAACAACTGATAAATAATAGTTTTTAAGTTAACCGACAAGTATTTTTTAAATTTCCCATTCTATTTATATTATATGCCACTTTTATATATAGATATGAAGTTTTTAAGAATTAATATAAACTGCATTCATAGTCCCCGTGAGAAGTGGAATCGAAAACGTTAGATTTGTTTATCCCAAATCAATGTTTTAATCTAAAACCTAATCCCAAATCAATGGTTTGATCTATAACCTGATCCCAAATCAATGGTTTGATCTATAACCTGATTTCAAATCAATGGTTTGATCTATAACCTGATCCCAAATGTTTTAACATCACTTGATTACAAATCGATTTTTAAATCAATCACTTCACCCTAAATTAATGTTTTAATCTATTACCTGATCCCAAATCAATGGACTCCACAGGAAGTTCCTTCGGAACATCGTCTGAAAACAAAGTTTTTTTTCTTTTTTAATAATGTAAAATCATTTTATTAGAAATTAGAAGAAATAAAGGAGGAAATGCTAACTAACGTCTTATTTTCTCCATATTTCAAGAAATATTTAATTTTCATTAGCTTTAAGATAATTGAAAATTAATATTTATGCTATGGAAAAGAGTAATTTAAACCCATAATGCAATTACTTTTAAGATAAATAAACACCCTGAACCAAGGCTATTTTGTGTTTATTGCTTATTTGTTGACATCATTTTTGATTTATTTTTCTTGTTTTCATTAGTGTTGTCGTAATCTTTGTATTTCTTGTTTTCGTTATTAACTTATCTTTGTATTTCTTGTTTTCGTTATTAACTTATCTTTGTTGTTTTCATGTTATTATCTTTGTTGTTTTCTTGTTATTATCTTTGTTGTTTTCTTGTTATTATCTTTGTTGTTTTCTTGTTATTATCTTTTTTGTTTTCCTGTTATTATCTTTGATTTAACTGTTGTTTTATTGCTGTTGTAATTACTGTTGCATTTTTGTTATTGCAGTTGTCATTATTCTATTTTTGTTGGTCATTGTTTTTATTGTTGTTACAGTTATTGCTGTTAATATTGATTTGTTTATTGCTGTTTTAATTATTGTTTTTATCGGAATTAAATTGTTTTACTAATGTTGTCGTCTTTATGAATATTATTATTATTATAATTGTTGTTTACCTGCTGCCCTCGTGGAAAAAAGAAACATCTCCGAATATTTCCCCCAACCGTGCTCATTCCTTGCCTTTATATAATTTAATATTATTTTGTATCAGGGATCATAGGTAATATCCATAATGCAATGTCTCTCTCTGATGAAATGCAATTTTGCATTCTAAAAATTATCTTTCAAAAACCTTTCCTTCTCAAATTTATGAGTAAAAATTGTTTTTACAGTATAATAAATGGTTTCTGAAAAATTTTATAAAATCAAGAAAAGATTTTATTTCAGATTAAATTTAATAAGCATCCGACTAATTTAACAAATACTTTTTAGTTTATTTTGACAAATAAAATACAAAATACTGGTTTGATCGAACCTGTATTAAGGTTTCATATTTTGTATTTGGTTCCAGCGCAAAGTATAGATAACTGAACTCGTGCCTGTAAAAAGAAAATTAAATGTAGTTTTGATTGTTCTGTAACCTGTATCTAGTTCATATCTTCGCAGTGATCTTAAAAGGGAGTTTGGTACGCGATAGCAAAAACACAACACAAAGCGTGTGAGACGATATATAGTTCCATCACATTAAATATAACAATAGAGTTTTTAATGGAGGATTACTTAAACTTATAACAACAGAGTTTTTAATAGAGGATTACTTAAACTTATAACAAGAGAGTTTTTAATGGATGATTACTTAAACTTATAACAACAGAGTTTTTAATGGAGGATTACTTAAACTTACAACAAGAGAGTTTTTAATGGATGATTACTTAAACTTATGACATCAGAGTTTTTAATGGATGATTACTTAAACTTATAACAACAGAGCTTTTAATGGAGGATTACTTAAACTTATAACAAGAGAGTTTTTAATGGAGGATTACTTAAACTTATAACAACAGAGTTTTTAATGGAGGATTACTTAAACTTATAACAGCAGAGTTTTTAATGAAGGATTACTTAAACTTATAACAATAGAGTTTTTAATGGATGATTACTTAAACTTATAACATCAGAGTTTTTAATGGATGATTACTTAAACTTATAACAACAGAGCTTTTAATGGAGGATTAGTTAAACTTATAACAACAGAGCTTTTAATGGAGGATTAGTTAAACTTATAACAACAGAGCTTTTAAGTGTTAAGAGTTTATATACCTAACTTTTAAAATTAAACAAAAGCTTTAAAATTTGTGTTATAAACATTTTAAACTAATACAATGTTCTTGTAAATCTGGTTTAATTTAATTTTCAAATTTAAAAGATTTTATATTTGAATAAAATACATTTTTCAATTAATATATTTTTTATTCTATTGTGCACAATGTAAACATAAAAGTCTTTGAATGAAAAACTTGAAATGAATGAAAGGGGGAAAGTTATATTTTTGACATTTGAAAACATAATACTATTAATTATGTATTTGATGTATAAATCAGATTAATATTTGTTGGATTTTATTTTTCAAGAAGGTGGTAAACATCCTAACATTCATAACACCCCAGTTGAAATGTGAATTGTCTAATCCCTATATCCCTATTAAAATATCAAAGCTTAACAAAATCAGGTTGCAAACATATATAGGTATGAGAGAATTTGAGTTTGTGGCAAAAGCTCACTTTTTTGTCATGGAAATCAAAGTTTCAAACTGCAACCTGAAAGTGTAAACCTCTGATTTGATAAACCTTGGCTGTCTTAATTTATCAGAAATCATAGATCCACAACAACAGAGTGAAGGTTTATTACAAAACTGTATAAAAATAATCAAAGAAAAATGATATAATAAGCTTGTATGTATACTGGTTAGGACGATAAAGGAAACTTTATTTATTTCCCCAACAATACAAATATTATGTAGAAAACCAGTTGAAAAAGTTTCTTTGTTGAAAAAAAGCAAAAGTTCCGGAATGAAAAAGAACTAAAAGATCCAGTCACTAATTAAGTTTACTGGAAGAGAATTGTTCTAATAGATTAATTCTTTTGTTTAACCCAGTTTTTCTAGAATTTAATTTAACCCTCTTAGTTGATGTTAAGCACTGCGCTAATATTTTATTAGATTTAGTCAAGCAGTTGTTGTAACAAACACACACATGCAAACATACCAAACTGTGATAGTATAAACATACCAAACTGTGATAGTATAAACACACCAAACTGTGATAGTATTAACATACCAAACTGTGATAGTACAAACACATCAAACTGAGATAGTACAAACACACCAAACTGTGATAGTAAAAACACACAAAACTGTGATAGTACAAACATACCAAACTGAGATGGTACAAAAACACCAAACTGTAATAGTAAAAACACACCAAAGTGTGATAGTACAAACACACCAAACTGAGATAGTACAAACACACCAAACTGTAATAGTAAAAACACACCAAACTGAGATCGTACAAACACACCAAACTATGATAGTACAAACACACCAAACTGTGATAGTACAAACACACCAAACTGTGATAGGACATACACACCAAACTGAGATAGTACAAACACACCAAACTTTTAATAGTAAAAACACACCAAACTGTGATAGTACAAACACACCAAACTGAGATCGTACAAACATACCAAACTGTGATAGTACAAACACACCAAACTGTGATAGTACAAACACACCAAACTGTGGTAGTACAAACACACCAAACTGTGATAGTACAAACACACCAAACTGTGATAGTACAAACACACCAAACTGTGATAGTACAAACACACCAAACTGTGAAAGTACAAACACACCAAACTGTGATAGTACAAACGCACCAAACTGAGATAGTAAAAACACACCAAACTGGGCTAAAATTAGCAATTGAAAATGTTCTAATACAAAGACACCAGACTGTGCTAAGGTAAGCACAAAAATTTTACTAAAAACACCAAACACATACACCAAACCATACCAATACAAACACACCAAACGGTACTATCACAAACACACCAAACTGTTCCAATACAAAAACACCAAAATATACTAATACAATCACAACAAACTGTGCCAATATGAACTCACTAAGCCATGCTAAAACAAACACCTCAAACGGCACTATCAGAAACACACCAAAATGTACTAATTTAAACAAAACAAACTGTATAACTACAAACACATTAAACTGAACAGATACAAACAAACAAAACTGAACCCATACACAAGCACACAAACTACACTATCAACTCACAAAGGGTATTAACACAAGCTCAGACAAAATTTGTTCCATCAAACACCAAACTAGCCGGGCTCAAACCATAAGTTTAACATTTGATATTTCCTTCAAGATTGAGAAAAGTTTAAAATTTTCTAAATCCTCCATCCATATCTCAACCCATGACAGTTCAAGAGAATCTGGAATAGCCTAACAGAAAATGAAAAACCTCTGGCGACACGAACAAATGATTTCTTTCTTATTTTTTTCAAAATGCAGATGGTTTGTTTTCTAAACTGTTTAATCTCAGAATAGGGTTTGTAGTTTATTTGTCTATTTGACTATTTATCTTCTTGAGTTTGTCCTACTTTTTACAGGAACTGTAGACAAAATTTCACGAAACCTTGCGATTTAATTGTTGCAGAACCATTTTACCATTTAAACATTTTTCAAGGCATCCATGGAGAAACTTTTGAATTTTTTTCTTTTTTAATAAGTGTTCAATACTTTAAATATCGGTATTAATTTGCCTCTGATGCATAAATACTTTAAATATCGGTATTAATTTGCCTCTGATGCATAAATACTTTAAATATCGGTATTAATTTGCCTCTGATGCATAAATATGTCAGTCACTTAGAAAGAGATAGACAAAAATATAGAAAAATATGCATCCTTGATCAGGCAAAGTCAATAAATAAATAAAGAAAAGAGAAACCTGATGAAAAATTATGCCAAACAGTATTGAAGTGTATGTATATATATATATATATACCTGAAATTATTGTCTATGAAAGAATTGTCATTATGTGGTAGGACTGTATGCCATCTACTCCGGGTATCATAGTTAGGATCCTCACTAGACTAAACAATAAGTCAGAATTAGAATAGCATAATCACCACAGACGCCGAAATTTTTGTTAGCGCTGCTAATCTAGAACCTTGATCTCTATTTCATTTAATTGGAGATCATAGTTTTGGATCCCTTACTTTTGGTTTTCTAAGCTAGGTTCTACTGTTAATATTTAATTAAATTAACGTAATGCTTAGAATGAAGAAAGGGTTGGGAAATTGTGTGATCGTTTTTATTTATTGATCGCTAATTTTAAATCCGTCTCAAATAGTTTTTTCAAATACACATTTTATACTTTAATATTTGCCTTTGTCTGGGTCTAACCAGAGCCTTTCGCCTCGACAATTAAAATAAAGAATAAATCTGAACCAAGATAACATTGATTAATTAATATTTTTTATACAGTGATCCCTTGTTTAATGATGTTGGTACTGTGGAAGACGATGCCTGGCCGCGTTAAACTAGTTCCACAAGATTCAACAGAATGAGATAGAACGGATACGGGGCATAGTACTGATATATCATCTCTACAGTCTACACGTGCGATATCGATATTGACTCTAGTTCTGAACCCTCTAGTAATAAGTTATAAGAAATATATATACTGGAAGTTATTTATGCGCTTTATTAGAGTCTGACTCACGTCCTCTATAGTACAATATTTTTTTATGAAATAATAATAACAGAATATCCCTAATGCTGCCATTTCCAAAATGTGGTCTGCCAGTTTTTGCTCTCAAAGATCTCAGAGTTATTTTAAATCATGTATGAATTTCAATTTATTAAATAAAATGATGAAAATGTCTCTTTATCAACGAATCATTCATTTCTCCGGTAATAATGAAAGAACAAAAATGGCAGACCATATTTTGGAAATGGCATGAATCGTAGTATTCTGTGATTATTGTCTCTTAAATACTAGGGTATTTATGTTGAATGCCGCAAACTATTTCGAAGTTCAATCAATTTACATGTTTCCTGGTTACTTAGAGGCTGCCTATAAATCTTACCATAAACTTCCTGTACATGATTCTGTTTCCTAGAATGGGAGCAAAGCTCTCCACGCTCCAAGTTAGATTAAACTTGTCGCTGAACATCCCGTGGGAACTGCTCAGTACAACCGCCATGTTGGGTTCACCTAGTAGAACAAGAATTAACATCGTGTGTTGTTAATTAAACTAAAATAATTCATGGAATAGAAACAAACTCGGTGTTCAAGTATATTACAATTTTGATCGGTTGTTTTAAATTACATCTCTAAAACCTTTGTTCGACCAAAATTATGGAGATATTCTCGTTTTTCTTGCTGAAAATTGAGAATTTTCAATTAAGATTTTTCTATGAAATCGGCTAAGGAACTTGACAGTTTGCAATATTTTCTCTTTTTAATTTGTTATACTTAGAATTAAATACTTTTAAAGCTTGAAAACAGACGATATCTTCCTCCTTTAATAGGTTTAAATCAGTCAAATAACCATATTTTTCCTAAATTAGGTTAAATTTAACCCTATAAAGGCTGGGGGGTCTGAATATATGTGTAGCCGGGGGATTGTCCCATGTCCCCCACCTAGAAAAAGGCCTTATAGTGAGAGCAGGAATGGGGTTGAAATGAATGTTCATAGCCCCATTTTTCAAGGCATGCTCATTGAAAAATAAATTAGATCGATAACTTTAATAATTTGGGTGCTAGGGAGGGTTGAAAAAAATGCCAAAAAAGGGTTCAAAAAAATGTAAAAAATATTTCATTTTGTTTAAAACAAAAATCAAAGTGTTACACATGTTTCTATATCTATTGTTCAAGGGCTTTTCAAACATATAGTTTTTAGATCTATAGCTTTAGTCACAAACCAGACTTTTTACCGCCCTGTACCATACTCTATGCATTAAAAAAAAAAATTTGAATCCTTTAAATTTCTATTCATTTAAAGTCACAAAATTTCACGGTGATAGTGTCAAAACTGAGAGTGCTAGTACAATCTTAACCTTTGTCTCTAGGCTTTGGTTACACAGCTTCATAGTTATCCCGAAAGGTAGAAAAATTGAAAAGGTTTATTTTCGATCCGAGCTTTTCAAAAAACTTTTAATAAGTTTAGTATAATTACTGCAATAAAAACTTTCTTGATTTTACCTGACAGTTTAATCAATCCTCTTGATTTTACCTGACAGTTTAATAAATCCCCTTGATTTTACCTGACAGTTTAATAAATCCTCTTTATTTGACCTGACAGTTTAATAAATCCTTTTGATTTTACCTGACAGTTTAATAAATCCTCTTGATTTTACATGACAGTTAAATAAATCCTCTTGATTTTACCTGACAGTTTAATAAATCTTTTTGATTTTACCTGACAGTTTAATAAATCCTTTTGATTTTACCCGACAGTTTAATAAATCCTCTTGATTTTACCTGACAGTTGAATAAATCCTCTTGATTTTACCTGACAGTTTAATAAATCCCCTTGATTTTACCTGATAGTTGAATAAATCCTCTTGATTTTACCTGACAGTTTAATAAATCCTTTTGATTTTACCTGACAGTTTAATAAATCCTTTTGATTTTACATGACAGTTAAATAAATCCTCTTGATTTTACCTGACAGTTGAATAAATCCTCTTGATTTTACCTGATAGTTGAATAAATCCTCTTGATTTTCCTAGTTCATTTTCGGCAGAACAAGAATAGTTTCCAAAATCCTGAACATTCACAAAGGTTACCTTCTATAACATTCTAAAACATCTTGTGCAATTTGTTTTTTATACGCAAGGTTGAAATGCAAGGAAAGTTAATTGCAGTTGCGTATACTCTGAGTACATATTGAAACCAGTTTTCTCTGGGCGGACTTTGTAAACAAGAATAGATGCATTAGTGTTCGCTTAGTATCCGAGGAGGTTAAAAGCATTAAATTATAATAATTTTAATAATTTACATAATAGTTTCTTATGACCAGAATATCGTATTGATTTTATATGTGAAAGATGGATCCCATGCCCCATGTCAGTCTAGTGTTTACATTACTGCCCAGAGACAGTACCCTGTAGTAAAAAAGATGCGTACACCTCTGAAATAACTTTCCTTGCATTATAGCCTTGGCTATGGAACTGACCCAATTGCGCGTTTCGAAATAATCAATATTTAGTTCGTGTATACGAACAGAATGACACAAATTTTAAAGTGTGTTCGAAATCTTGAATGTTTTGTTCATAATTTCGAATAAGATGTTTATGTGCAGAAATGTTTTCGTTAGTTTATATAAAGAACAAAATATTCTAGGTTTTACAACAGTGTGCTTTGTAAAATTATGATCACAGCATATTAAAAGTTATATGAGATAAGTTTGAAGATAAATGTATGTGTGTAGAAGCATATTCACTCTCAAATTCCAATATTTAGTAGATGCAAAACTTTGTAATTGTTTTTTTGTAAAATCTGAATTCTTTAAAACAGTTCTTGTGAATACACTTTACCAACTCAAGTACGGCATGCTAAAATGTATTAAGAAATAGAGAGCTAATTGTTTCGTGCTAGAATGTTATTTTCTTGTCCAGGGGTGTGTACTGTGTATTTAATTTAGATATCCCCCCCCCCTCCCATTTTTTTGTATGCAAGATTTTTTTACCACAATTATTGAAAAGGTTTTCGCTAAAATTTGACGTAAGAAGAATATTTAGGGTGAGTTATAATGAAAGAATCAATTTGGTATTTTTTTCAAAAATATTTGCTCGCGACCATATAATTATATAAAAAAAGAAACTTTGGAATTCTATTATTATTAATTGCGGAGGAATTTACCATACGAAACAGGTTTTTCACTATTGACGTAAATGAAGTATATTTAGTAATTGTATGTGTTTTTTTTTGCACTTCGCCGGGATTTCTAATGTTTCAAAAATATTTACTCACAACTTTTACAAAAAAGAAGCTTGTAATTTCATCAATAGAAATGACCATACGAAAAAATGCTGTTACCAAAAACGGTAAACCTACTTTTAATTTTGATTCAATTTGTTATTTTGTTTTATTTTGGTCCAATTTGTTTAATTTGTTTAATTTTGATTCAATTTGTTAATTTGTTTAATTTTGGTTCAATTTGTTTAATTTGTTTAATTTTGGTTCAATTTATTTAATTTGTTTAATTTTGGTTCAATTTGATTAATTTGTTTAATTTTGGTTCAATTTGATTAATTTGTTCAATTTTGGTTCAATTTGTTTAATTTGTTTAATTTTGGTTCAATTTGTTTAATTTGTTTAATTTTGGTTCAATTTGTTTAATTTGTTTAATGTTGGTTCAATTTGTTTAATTTTGGTTCAATTTCTTTAATTTTGGTTCAATGTGTTTAATTTGTTTAATTTTGGTCCAATGTGTTTAATTTGTTTAATTTTGGTTCAATTTGTTTAATTTGTTTAATTTTGGTTCAATTTGTTTAATTTGTTAAATTTTGGTTCAATTTGTTTAATTTTGGTTCAATGTGATTAATTTGTTTAATTTTGGTCCAATATGTTTAATTTGTTTAATTTTGGTTCAATTTGTATAATTTGTTTAAATTGGTCCAATGTGTTTAATTTGTTTGTTTACCTCTAGTCCCATATCTGTGATAACCAGACGGTGTCTCTGTCCATACTGTTCCATTAACCTCTTCTCGTTCCTGTCCAGTAGCATAGTGTTCCTGTACCAGAGAACCTAAACATAAAGGTGTTAGAAGGAAATCTGACAATGGAACAATGGTTTAAAGGTGTTTTAGAGAATCTTAAACATGGCACAATGGTTCAAATGAGTTTCTACATGTTAAATTATGGTCTTACTGCGTTCTAGAGTAATCTAATCATAGAACAATGGTTTTAAGGTGTTCCAGCGAACCCTAAACATGGAACAATGGTTTTAAGGTGTTCCAGCGAACCCTAAACATGGAACAATGTTTTAAATGTGTTCCAAATGAAACCTAAACATAGAACAATAGTTTAAAGTTGCGTCAAAGAAACCTAAAGATGGAAAAATGGATGAAATGTTTTTTAGAAAACCCTAAACATGAAACAATGGTTTAAATTTGTTCCAGAGAACCCTAAACATGAAACAATGGTATAGAGGTGTTCCAGAGAACCCTAAACATGAAACAATGGTTTAAAGGTGTTCCAGAGAACCCGAAACATGAAATAATGGTTTAAAGGTGTTCCAGAGAATACTAATTATGGAACAATGGTTTAAAGGTGTTCCAGAGAATATTAATCATGGAACACTGGTTTAAAGATGTTCCATGCTGAGAACACGAAACAATACTTTAAAAGTTTACAGAGAAACGCAAAAATGGAAATTTTTAAACAAAACTATCTGAAGAGCCCGGCGTTGCCCTTTGAATTTTAATAATCGAATGTTTTTAATCGATTTTTGAGAGAAAAAATCTATTTAAAAAAATTAGATTTTTGAACAAAAATATAGAATTTTTGTTATTCCAGAGGTACCCAAGGGTTCCCTCAAAAAATGTCAGCCCATTCGATTAAGCCGTTTGGCCAGCTATAGCTAACACACAAATAATATATTTATGCGATCGAACAGCTGTATTATATAGATAATGAATTTTGTATATTGTTTTTCAATAACTTTGTGTTAATGTGGAACTAACATCTACTTTTTTTACTCTATAGAGGTTTGGTCCATCACCATCACCGAATCTTATGATTATTACAGTTGGCGTACAAAGTACAGTTGGCGTACAAAGTACAGTTGGCGTACAAAGTACAGTTGGCGTACAAAGTACATGACAATTTGTAATTTGGTGAATGTTTTACCAAAAATCAAGCGTACTTCCCCTTTACCGCATTTTCGTGGGAAACCCTAATCAGTATTTTTATTTCATACCTGCACTCTAGAATTTCACTTGTTTGTCAACCAATGGCTTCCAAGAAAGAAATAACAAGAATACGAGACATGTTTCCAAAATCAACAGAGAAAACATGGTTTTTTACGGGTTTAAAGTAGAGGAAAGGGATTGTTATTCATAAAGGATGTGAAACTAAACTTTTCTAATATCTACATATTTGGAACCTGATGGTTTAAACCTGTGATATTTCCAACTTTTGGGTGAAAGGGAGTGACCGGCAATGTATGGTGGTTGAACTGAGTATGTAGTATTGTGGACAAGTTTTTTAGGATTCGTTTGAGACATATAAAACATTTATACATTTCTTCGGCGTATATTTACGGAGTTTGAGCGCAAAGTCGACGTTAAAAATCATGAATTTGGGTGGGTACGTTTTCAGAATCGGTTTTTTTTAATTATTTAATTTAAACAAAAGTCTACAGTAGTTGTTTAGGAACAGGTCGAGAAAATAAAAATTGACTCTTATCATCGAAAATAAGTAATCTTATTTAATTATTAGTTAGTAATCAGGTCATTTTAAATACGGCATTCAAAGACCAATCCATTATGAATTGCTTACTTTTTGTTACAATTTTTGAACAATGCTCTGTTAACAGATCTTCAAAATTTCCATTCAGTTCATAAAACGAACCAATCAACTATATAACTTCTGTAAAGTGTTTTTTATAGTTTTCTAGGTTCTAGAAAGAGGGACACATTTAAGAGGTTAGCCGGCGGTGGGGGGAGGGGGGGGTCGGAGGTTCTTTATTGATGACCATTTTCCGTGCAGGTACGGGTTTGAAGAATTCTGACCCGTGGTTCTGTATCTCCGTAAACCAAACAAGATATAAGTATTTTGACCTGTGGTTCTGGATTTCCGTAAACCAAACAAGATAAAAGTATTCTGACCTGTGGTTCTGGATTTCCGTAAACCAAACAAGATATAAGTATTCTGACTTGTGGTTCTGGATTTTCGTAAACCAAACAAGATATAAGTATTCTGACCTGTGGTTCTGGATCTCCGTAAACCAAACAAGATATAACAGCTTCGTAACCAACCCCGCCATGAACCCAACGTTTATCAACATCTATCTCTGGAGAGTCTAAAATTAATCTTTATAAATGAATTCAGTCTTTGCCACAAACTCAGATTTTTCTGATCCCTAATCTTAGAACAATCACGAGGCAAAATAAAGGGATTAGAGAAGTAGGTTTAGTGGCAAAAACTCAGTTCCTTTGTGATAAAAAACTGTTTACATAAACTTGNCCCGACTGTATATTATTATTTCTACATATTACGGAATATCTTTACCATTAATAACAATATTCAGTTTTCCTCTCCTAAGTCCTAATATATTACACTTTGTATGTGTGTGGTTCAGGTATCCGTAGGTTTTCACGGAAAAGGGACCGTGCATGCTATTTAAACCGTAAAAAATCAATTTGAATTGAAACAAATCATTCAGATATTACAACCTATAGCCATCGATTATCTTTCGCCACATTTGTATATAGTTTATATTTTATAATATTTTTTAATTAATTTGTTTTGAATTTGATTATGTCTCGTGTCGCTTGCGCAACTATCAAAGAATGCCGCGCACCACTCACATTTTTCGAAATCCGTTAAAAATGTTTTCAAAAAAAAATAAAATAAAAATAATTAAAAAATATTATAAAATATAAACTATTACTAATGTGGCGAAAGATAATCATGACTATAGGTTGTAATATCTGAATGATTTGTTTGAAATTAAATAGATTTTTGTACGGTCTAAGTCGTATGTTGCAATTTTCTCAATTTGTATTGTCGCTAAGTTATCCGGTATGAGACGTCTTTAACATTTTTCTCCTTATAGACGCGACAAATAGAAGTAAGATTAGTAGCGATCAAAAGCGTTTTTTTATCGCATTTAGCCTGTACCCCCTTTCATTTTTCGCGAACACTCCTTTTAAAGTGAACCATTATTTTAAGAGTTATATGTTCGATACTTTTTCAATTTAAAAATGTTAAATATTTTTTAAACAAATTATTTTCCGTTGATTGTTTTCCGATTCTTTCCTTTATGTTTCACACATGAAGATCATATAAAGGCACCGTTATGAATAAGGCTTGTAACTTTTGAAGGGGTCTCTTGACAGATAACACCTCCCCTCTTCCCCCTGCTAAAATTAATACTTACAAATAACATTTACAGATATTGTTTCTTGTACAGGAGGTCCAACTCCATTATTTGCAGTACATATATATGTACCGCTGTCAGACCGTTGTACATGTTCAAACTTGAGGAAGGTATTATTGAGTATTTTCTCTCCGCTAGGCAGCATCTGATGCTGAAAAAAAATAATTTAAAGAACAATGGATTTGTACAATGTAAATTGTAAATGAAAATACATTACTGTGGTTAATGTTTAAACGGGTTAAAGAACATTTTATGAAGTTTTAATGTTGCTTGTAATATTTACTATTACAAACATAATAACTGAGACAAGTACATCTTTATTTACACGACATTCAGCTTTTTGGCAAGCAGAAACTATATTAATTTTGCACCCTGTTGGTGTAAACCTCTGAAATCTTAATCTTTAAATTCGATCCAGCAGCAGTTATTGAGTGAAATGTCAAAGGTATACAACATCAGAATTGAAAGTGTTATGTTTTTAATGTATTAATATGTATAAGTTACTTTGTAAATGTGAAGGCTATGATTTTATATTTATCAACTTTCAAGAAGCCAAGATCTTTATTCTAAAAGATTTTTTTGGTGAACACTGTACACTGCATCGTATAATGGAAAGATTTAATACCCTGGCGGGGGGAAAGTATTTTTAATCAAAAAATAATTAGGTTCTATCTAACCTACAGTCTTCACTGATAAAATAATAGTACTTGGAAAAAGTCGAATATAGAAAATGGATTATAATTTACAATAAAATACAATTTACAATAAAATACAATTTACAATAAAATACAATTTACAATAAATTACAATTTACAATAAAATACACGTTACAGAATTTTTACCAATACAAGAAAATACATAGCAACAGTATTTCTTATTTGTTTTATTTAGCAATAATAAGATTAGCATTTCTGAAGTTCGAGGACAAAAGAATTGAGTTTTTGCCACAAACCTTTATTTTCTAATCCTTATATCTTGGCAACCTGATGGTGAAAACCCTTTATATTTCAAATTTAAACTATTTGAACAGAATTCATAGTTTGAAATATCTAAGGTCTACGAAATTGGATTGCAAAGCTATAGGTATTAGAAAATCAGATTTTGTGACAAAGACTCAATTCCTTTGAGTCTTGATTTTCCTTTTAAGTGCAGTTGGGTCTAAATACTTTGCAAAAAATAAAAAATGAGTAAATGTTAATACAGTATTAAATTCTAGTAATTATACTCGAAGTTCTATATACTTTTGCACAGTATATATGGCATGAAACATGAATACTTTAAAGTTTGAGTTTATATTTTTTAATATAAATTTGTCAATTTTATGTTAAAAAAGAAATTTTAGATGTCTCTATAGAGAGTTACATATAACTAAAATTGCACTTTGTGATTTTAAATCCTTAAACATTTGTGGAAGAAATCATGTTTATCACAATTTTGTTGGATGAAATTTCGAATAAAAACAAAAACATTACTTTCAAAATAACCCTTGAAAAGGCTAAAATCGCCGAAAATTACTTAAATAAAACAGGTTTTAATGCGACATTTTTAATTTTAAAAAGGTCAAACCCCTTTTTTTGAAAAAAAATTGTTTATGAAATGTGAAACAGAAAAGAAGGTAACAAAAGATTTTTGTTTAAAAATAGTGTCGTTAAGGTTAGGAAATGTTAAGATGTATATTTTATATTGTATATGCTATATTACCAAAAAACATTTTGGTTTTTAATACGTTAATATTTCATGCTATAGGATGTATAATGTATGTTTTTATATTCTACCACTATAACATATTCCATTTAAACCGAAATATTTGTAGTTTAAAACAATGTAGTTTTATATATTCAAATAATATCATTCTTAGATTTATAAAAGAGAAAACTGACCTGTCTCTGCCAGGTTATTCGAGGTTCAGGAAACCCAGAGGCATTACAGGACAACATCAAACTTGAATATAATTTTATTACAGGACAACATCAAACTTGAATATAATTTTATTACAGGACAACATCAAACTTGAATATAATTTTATTATAGGACAACATCAAACTTGAATATAATTTTATTACAGGACAACATCAAACTTGAAGATAATTTTATTATAGGACAACATCAAACTTGAAGATAATTTTATTACAGGACAAAATCAGTCTTTAAAATAAATATTATTATAAGAAAACATCAAACTTGAAGATAAACATTAGTATAGGACAACATCAAACTTGAAGATAAACATTATTACAGGACAACATCAAACTTAAACAATTTTATTACAGGACAACAACAAACTTAAATACTATTATTACAGGGCAACAACAAACTTAAAAAATATTATTACAGGACAACAACAAACTTAATTACTATTATTACAGGACAACATCAAACTTGAAGATACACATTATTGCAGGACAACATCAAACTTAAATAGTATCATTACAGGACAACATCAAACTTGAAGATAAACTTTATTGCAGGACAACATGAAACTTGAAGATAGACATTATTAACAGAAAGCATTAGTGAAGGAAATGACAAATGACTCTGTAGATGTGTTCAAAACAAAACAAGATGCATGGCACACACATATATATATATATAAGAAAAATAATAAGAAAGATGTACACTTGAAAGAAAACTGTGATAATTTAGATAACATTTATAACAACCCCAAAACATATGCACATATATTGTAGAGATAATTATTAGATTGGATGGATTGAGGAAAGAACCACTAATACTAGAATCCATGGATTAAGAAGAGAACCAGGAATACTAGAATCCATGGATTAAGAAGAGAACCAGGAATACTAGAATCCATGGATTAAGAAGAGAACCAGGAATACTAAAATCCATTGATTAAGTAGAGAACAAGGAATACCAGAATCCATGGATTAGGAAGAGAAAAGAATTAATAAAATCCATGGATTAAGAAGGGAACCACTAATAATAGAATCCATGGATTAGGAAGAGAAAAGAATTAATAGAATCCATGGATTAAGAAGAGAACCACTAATACTAGAATCCATGGATTAGGAAGAGAACAGAATTAATAGAATCCATGGATTAAGAAGAGAACCAAAAATACTAGAATCCATGGATTAGGAAGAGAAAAGAATTAATAGAATCCATGGATTAAGAAGAGAACCCGGAATACTAGAATCCATGGATTAAGAAGAGAACCCGGAATACTAGAACCCATGGATTAAGAAGAGAACCAGGAATACTAGAATCCATGGATTAAGAAGAGAACCAGGAATACTAGAATCCATGGATTAAGAAGAGAACCAGCAATACTAAAATCCATGAATTGAGAAGAGAACAAAGAATTCTGGAATCCATGGATTAAGAAGAGAACCAATAATATCAGAATCCATGAATTAAGAAGAGAACCAATAATACCATAGTCCATGAATTAAGAAGAGAACCAAGAATTCTAGAAACTATGGATTAAGAAGAGAACCAAGAATTCTAGAAACCATGGATTAAGAAGAGAACCAAGAATTCTAGAATCCATGAATTAAGAAGAGAACCAACAATACCTAGAATCCATGGATTAAGAAGAGAACCAAGAATTCTAGAATCCATGGATTAAGAAGAGAACCAAGAATTCTAGAATCCATGAATTAAGAAGAGAACCAGGAATACTAGAATCCATGGATTAAGAAGAGAACCAAGAATTCTAGAATCCATGGATTAAGAAGAGAACTAGAAATACTAGAATCCATGGATAAGAAGAGAACCAGGAATACAAAAATCCATGGATTAAGAAGAGAACCAGGCATACTAGAATCCATTGATTAAGAAGAGAACCAAGAATTCTAGAATTCATGGATTAAGAAGAGAACCAGGAATACTAGAATCCATGGATTAAGAGGAGACCCAGGAACACTAGAATCAATGGATTAAGAAGAGAACCAGGAATACTAGAATCTATGGATTAAGAAGAGAACCAGGAATACTAGAATTTGCGTTGTGAATCGAGATCAAACATTGATCACATAACTCATATATAAGAAATTTAATTTCTTTTCGATATCACGTACTGGTCATTGTTCATTCAGAAATTAAGACGAGATCGAATGAAAAATAAAATCAAGGAATCGAAAAAAAATCTATGGTAGCTAAATCTCATGTAAAATAAAAAACCTGGTCCCAAGGATGAAAAAAAGCCTTGAACCTCATAAGTATATTTCCAATGAGCCCCTGGATAATATTATTATCTGACATACAAATATATATATAGAGCAGACTATGCTCAGTATTATAACACAATTAAGGTATAGAAGGTATAGATTAATAGATTCAAGGATATATATATATATATATATATATATATATATATATGGAAAACCATCCATCAATATTTCTATACCAAGAACCAAATTATTAATCTGAACATCTATTCTAACGTGACAGTCAACATACTATTTAGCCAAACAAATATTTCAGAACGTTTAATATGCAGTGTTTAAAAAAAATGAATTATACGGTCTAAATAGAAACAAACTTGTATTTACATTCACTTATGTGACACTTGAAGATAACATGTGCTCGCTTTTTGATTTATTCTCTTATGTATTTTCTTATTGATGAGAATCAGCATATAATTATTACTTATGTATTTCATAATAAATAAATTGCTTAGTACATCATGATACAATTTTAGTATGCACGCTCATAGTAAAATTTTAGCTTGCGCACTAAATGCATTATGATAAGATTTTAGTGCAATCAATTTTATATAATACTAGCCTTACAGGGCGCTTCGCGCCCATCTTCTAAATCAATTGTAAACATGTTCTCTTTGTGTACATCGTAAAACAAAACAAAAATAATTCGCGGATTTTCACAAAAAATTTCGCGGATTTTCAAAATTTTTAAAAATTTAATGACGATCGAATTTTGATGGAGACTAATATTTGAAATTTTGATTTTTCATAAACCTTCCCTGGGGTCTCTAGATGTCCCACAAAAAATTTGGGCCCGATCGGTTCAGCCGTTTTGACGTTTATTGGATACAAACAAACAAACAGACAAGCCAAATTTATATATAGATAAGATGGAAGTCCACACAACATTGGAAAATTAAAAAATCTTAACTCATGATAATTTTAATATACCTAGATTCCTTCCTCACGGTCAGGTTGCTTCGAGACTGCGTTGTAATCTTCGGAGGAACTGAAAATATTAAAATTAAATGAATTAATTAATATGATTATTTATTATCTATACATATAAAGTTGTAATTTCTGTTTTGTGTCTTTATGTTTGTTTGTCTGTATGTCCTATCAGGAGTATACACAGGATGAAGTTTAAGGTAAGAGAAGAAAAATATTTTGGCCAAAAGATTTGAACTCATTTTAAGGTAAAAACATTTTTATTCACATCTCATTTTCTGCCTAAACCTGATTTTAACCTTTGCCCAAGATTCTCTGGGGGACGATGCCCCCCCCCCTCTGTACGCTTTTGTGTCCTGTCATAACTCAGAACCGATTTGCATCAAAATTGGACATTCGAACTCGGGTAAACCACTAAAATGTTCTTGGCTTGTTTTAAATGGTCTAGGTTTCTTGGGAGGATTTTATGGAGAAAGTTTTATTTTCCTGGCAAAGCTGGGTTTCCAATCTAGTCTATCTATAAAGGAAATGCGTTTTTGCCACAAACTCTGATTTTCGAACACCTATATTCTTCGCAACTGCAGTATGTCGCAGACCTTTGATATTTCAAACTATGAATTATGTTAGATCAAATAGTCAAAGTTTGAAATATCAAACGTTTACACCATTATATTACACAGATATCGGAGTTAAAAAATTTAAGTATGTGGCAAAAACTGACTTTCTTTGGTCGAATAGACCTGAGATAAAGTCCTGGATGTTTATCTATGTTTATTCTTTCATCAAGTGGGAAAAGTCTTTGAAATTAAAAACTTTAGGAAATCTTTTGAATTCAAGCGAGGAAACCATCATGGTTTATTTCAGAACTTTTCCTCATGTACAACAGAAAAATAATCCCTCTCCATCCGATCCCCTCTACCTTCATCCAACCTCCATCTAAACCTCATCCAACCCCTTATCCAACCCCCTCTACCCCTTATCCAACCCCCTCTNCCCCCAGCGTATCCTGGTTTTCAAGTACCCCAGCAGAGATAGGGTTAACTCCCTCAAACATTCATCCAAACCAATCTAATTGTCATCCAATCCCAATTAACCATAATCTAATACCCTCTAACCATGATCTAATCCCTTCTAACTATTATCCCATCCCCTCTAACCTTTCTTCATTCCCTCTAATCTTCATTCTATCCATCCTAACCCTGATCCAAATCTCTTTAACAATAATTCCCTTTAAACCTTCCAAATCTCAATATTTCCTAACTCTTTCCAACCCTTCCTAATATATTCTTTATTGCATATCACTGCTCAAACGACTTTTTAAAATTCTATGAATAATTTGTTTTTGCTGCAGACAGTTTTATGTAAAGTTAAAGATGAATATTTACATATTTAAAATTGTGTATAAGAATGGTGTCCTACTTAAAGATATTATAAATCATTTATTTGCAAGATGGTTGACAAGTTTACAACTTGGGGACATTTAGACTTTTTATCTTGAATTGCTTTGAACCCAGACACTTTTTCTTGAAAATGTATTAGCATTAATTTGTTCAACTATTATTCTATTCGTATCAGCAAAGGCTTTTGATAACAGTAAAAGGAAAAAATAACATGGCTGTATGATCATCAATGGCTATTGTGTTTAAATAAATTTGACATCCTTTTCTGAAACTATATTATTAAGTGCTATCACCACCCTCTTTATTATTATGTTATCATTATTTTTTTCACAGGAATCACAGAAGATATATATTTTAAATATTTTTAGAAATAAAAATGTAGATTTCTTTGCCGTGGTACCATTGTAAATCATACATCCGTACATGGAGTGTTACTGAAAACTTCGTCTACACTCTGAACGCACATCCCCTTTAAAGTAAATTATGAAGGGTTTATAATGTATAATCATTATAAACATTATACCATCATTACCCTCAATATAATGCAGATGATGATATTGTTTATTCAGAAAATAAAAACATATTATCCATAATATCTTGATATTTTAAACTATCAGCTTGGGAATATATGTAATTGAAAACAAATATGGAAAAATTGAAACTTTGAAATTAAGAAATGAGTAATAGGGCGGAAGTGGAAAGTTCAAAGAAAAGAAGTGATATAAAGTTTAGAAAACAACAAAAAATTTTAAAGGTTAAAAAAATAAATTAAGTGCACACACTAATTGTAGTAGAACAGAAAATAAACTCTTTGAAAACAGATAAAAAAAAAAGATACAAAGGAACAGAATTCTTGCAACAAACTCCTATTTTTTAATCCTATTTCTTTGCAACCCGATTTTGTAGACCTTTCTTTTTTCAGTCTAAACTGTAAATATCAACGGTTTTAATATTAAGTTGCAAAGATATAGAGATTAAAAACTTGAGTTTGTGGCAAGAGCTCAGTTCTTTTGCTAAAAATATAGAAAAATATCAAAAAAATTGATTAAGAATTGGAGTTGAGTGCATCAGTTTAGTTTTAATGTTTTACAATGTTTAAGTTGAATTAACAAAAATAACAACAAGAAAAAAGTTTCAATGCTTTTTGAAAATTGTTTTTTAAAATAAGTGCTCATTTTTGAGCTCAAAGTCTTGGGTACAAAGTTGAAACGTTAAAAAGAACAAACTACATAATGACACTAAGCTCTTGTAAAAAAACTAAAAATCGAATTCTACGTCTTGATTATTTATCAAACCACAATATATGTACTTTTGATATACAAATATATAATAATATCTGCATACTGCGGAATATATTCTCTATATCATCAACCAAAATATATCATTGCTTAGATATCCTCCATCCTTCAAAACAGAATTGTATTCCAGGGAATAATCTGGGAATATTATTCATATTTCCCTCACTTTCGGCTCAATAAATACTGGGAATTATTATTGACCACTTTAGAAAAAGAAAACATATTCCACGCCATTTTAAGTCATATGTTCCGTAAAGAATAGGGTTAGTTTAGTTAGTTTATAAGCTTACTTAATTCAAAGTGAATAACTACGCCTAATCACAACTCTGGTTTTTAATTTCAGGCCCCCACCTAGAAATGGGCACGTTCAACTTTTTGCATGTCGTTCGTTCATCGTTCTTGCATGACCCACTTCGTTCGTTTTTTTTTCAATCATTCAAAAACTAAAATTATTTCGTTCATTCTCAAAATTTTTTATCATTTTCCATCAATTTTGTTTGTTGTTTCACTGATTGATTGTTTAATAAAATCGTTCGTTTAGTAAATCTTTCGTTCAGTAAAGCCGATCGTTTAATAAAATTGTTCTTTCATTAGAATAAACGATGTTTTTTTCACAAATTTGTTCGAAAAAATCGATTGTGCAGTAATAAAAGATCGTTTTTACAAATCGTTTGTTTTTTCTAAAAGAATATTTTTTTACATCGTTTAAATAAACGATGTCCATCTCTACATCCCACCCCCTCTCCTCCCCCAAACCAAATTTCAAATAAGATCTATATAAAGATATTTATATATTGGCCTGAGGCTGTCCTCTGAAACAGATTGAGGATATGAAGAGGTCAAGTTTGAATCATATCTTCATCTCAATCTAATTTTATCCTCTAGAGCTTCTCAAACTGAGGGAAGGGTATTAGGAGTGATCCCATCCTCGAAATATTCTGCAGAAAACAAAAATATCTTAGTTTAGATCCAATCTGATTTTCTGTAAAACAGCATAGACTTCTCAATAAAATTAATATCATGACTACGCTAAAAATCCCAAACTGTATTTGCATTTGTCTGTGTTGGCTTCCTTATTGATAAGATTAGAAACCTGATGGGACAGTTCAGTTTTCAGTAACTGGATATTTAAAAACAAAAAGATTTCAACTTGAATCTGTACAACAACAAACCAAGACAAAACAAGATAACCATCACTTTTAAAGTTAACTTGTAAAAACTTAATTTCTTATGTTTTGATTTTCAAAGTCAAAATCTTAAAAAGTAAATGCGCAAAAACACTAATATATTCTTTTCCGAAAGGTCTGCGTTGTTATAATGTTATAAACTAATTTCATTAAGAAAAGCTAAGGTCAGGTGTCAATGCCCCCCTCCCCTCCCTCCTGGCACTCAAGGGAATAAAGAAAAAAATATAGTTATTCTTTATTGTAGTTTATTGTAGTTTTATAAGCAGTGAAGGCTTTTAAGCTAATATTGTCCTGGACTCTTTATTTCAAACTTATCTTTACTGACGTGCACATAAGTTACTGAACGGTGAGGAAATGAACGAAATAGAGGAAAAATGAACGGTAATTTTGAGAACGAATGAACTATTAAGCAAACGAACAAAATGGGTTGTTTACGATCAATGAACGAACGAAATGAAAAACATCTTTACCTCTCCACATTCCTTTGATATCTCCATATCATTTTTCCATATTATTTCTCCATTTCTAGTCACGTTATCTGTTTAAACCGTGTTTCAGTTCAAGGTTATCATGTTTATAACTCAACACGTTCCCATATCTTCATGATTATTTCCATTTCTAGCCACGTAATCAATCCAGGCCAATTTCCACTTCAAGGTTACATTGCCCATACCTCAACACGTTCCCATATCTTCATGATATCTCCATTTCTAGTCACGTTATCTGCCCAAACCTTGTTTCAGTTCAAGGTTATCATGTCCATATCTCAATATGTTCCCATATCTTCATCATATCCCCATTTCTAGTCACGTTATCTGCCCAAACCGTGTTTCAGTTCAAGGTTATCATGTCCATATCTCAATATGTTCCCATATCTTCATGATATCTCCATTTCTAGCCACGTTATCAATCCAGGCCAATCCAGGTCTTCATTTTTAAGTTTCCAGCCCAAGTTCAGTTCTAGTCCAAAGTTCGTTTTAATCAATCAATGTTTTCATTCTCAGTGACATTCCTTCCATACTTTTTCAAGCACATTTCTAGGCTCTCATTCCTTTCCACGTTCTTGGTTCTCATTCCTTTCCACGTTCTAGGCTCTCATTCCTTTCCACGTTCTAGGCTCTCATTCCTTTCCACGTTCTAGGCTTCATTCCTTTCCATGTTCTAGGTTCTCATTCCTTTCCACGTTCTAGGCTCTCATTCCTTTTGACGTTCTTGGTTCTCGTTTCTTTCCACGTTCTTGGTTCTCATTCCTTTCCACGTTCTAGGCTTTCATTCATTTCCACGTTCTAGGCTATCATTCCTTTCCACGTTCTTGGTTATCATTCCTTTCCACGTTCTAGGCTCTCATTCCTTTCAAAGTTCTAGGTTTCCATTTCTTTCCACGCCCATTCCTTTCTACGGTCTAGGTTCCCATTCTTTTTTACGTTCTAGGTTCACAATCCTTTCCGCGTTCTAGGTTTCCATTCCTTTCCACGTCCTAGGTTTCCATTCCTTTCTATGGTCTAGGTTCCCATTCCTTTCTACGTTCTAGGTTCACAATCCTTTCCGATTTCTAGGTTTCCATTCCTTTCCACGTTTTAGATTCCCATTCCTTTTAACCTTTTAGGTTTCAATTCTTTTCTACGTTCTAGGTTCCCATTCTTTTCTACGTTCTAGGCTCCCATTCATTTCCACGTTCTAGGTTCACAATCCTTTTTCCTCTAGTTCTCATTTCTTTCCACGTACTAAGTTCCCATTCCTTCCCTCATTAAATACTCCCATATCTTTTACATTCTAAGTTCCCAATCTTCTCCGCCTATTCCTTTCCACGCTCTAGGTTCACAATCCTTTCAACGTTCTTATACGTACGTAATTTTTCCATCTGTAAACATGTTTCCATAGCAAGATAAGTCCAACGTTACGTCCCCCCCCCTTCTCCCCCGCCATGCATTCCTTCTAAGTGACATTCCTTCCTCCTGTTTACTTAAGACTCTATATAGTTACGTTACCATACCTTAGGACGTTCCTATTCTACGTGATGTCTCCTATAGTCACGGTAATAAAATATCTAATATTTAGTTTAAAGTTTCCATTTCTCGGGTTCTAACTCTTATTTCCAAAATGTATAAAACTAAAGAAAATGTTAAACTGTGTTTCCCTGCCACCAGGAAAGGTTCTTGTTGGATTAAATCTGCAGAAATTTAAGATTTAGCCATATTTGCTGGTTCTTAACCATGGAATGGTTATGGTTTAGGATAAAGTATCAAACCCCCCTCTATATCCCTCTTCTATCTTCTGGTATATCAGATTTGGCAGCCTTCAAACCTCCACAGATGGTTGTTCACTTTTATGGAATGTTCTTGAATCAATGATCAGTCAAGCTTGTCTCTTACCTCTCATCGGTTGGAAGAGGGGTTGGGGACATCTATTTCAGGTCAGAATTATAAATCATTCAGTAAATTCCTAATTTTCATTTAAATTTGATTGGTTGAATTAAGTTTGACTGGAGTGCTTGCATGCATTGAAATTCCTGGAAAAAGTTTCTAGTAAAGGGAATAGTTGACGTTAAATTTGAAGTTACCCTTCAAGCCAAGAGTTTACAAACTTTTTAAAGTAAATGCATGATCTTAATTTTTTATTAAAACAATTATCTGTTTTTCTTGTTGATCTGTGTTGTAAAAATCCACGAGTCGTTTAAAAAACTTTATTCTTATGCGCATCTTCCTCTCATGATTTGGATATTATGTCTGTAAAGGGTTACATTTGTGAGCTGGTTTTCGTATTGTTTAGGTCGCGTCGGAGAGAGCATCGCCGACTCCTACCTCACCAAACGACGACGAGTTGCTCTTTTGTGAAAGTAAAAATAAATGACAAATTTTTTAGATATGTTTTATATTAGAATTTTTTAGTTTAGAATTGAATAGTAAAATTTATAATAAAAAAATGTAAAATGTTATTCAATAAAAAGATTGTGATCAGCAATTGTCACAATTCTTATCAGTATGGCTCACAAGTTCGAAACTTTCAAATTTGCAACCTGATGGTGTAAACCTTTGCCATTTTAAACTTAGATTTTCTGATATCACAGAATTCATAGTTTGAGCTGTAAAAAAATATGGATTAGAAAATCAGAGTTTGTGGCAAAGAGAATGAATTCCTTTAAAGGGACTGTAAAGGAAAAATGAAAGGGGGTATAGGCTGAAAGCTAATCACTTTAGCTCTCGATCGCGACCCATGTAAGTTTTATCTTATGTTCCTGTCTCGAGAAATTGATATAAATCTGTGATAAAATTATACGAAAATTCATATATGTAAAATTTTGAAAATTTTAAACTTAAATCACGTGACCAGAACTATCACCAATGACAGAGCAGTATACTGGTCACGTGTCTCCGCCTGTATCACGTGACCACTTTACTGCACTGCCATTGGTGGAATTTCTGGTCAAGAAATACGGACTTAAAAATAATATTATGAATTAAATCTATTAAAAATAGAAATAACAAATATAAAATTAGAATTGGAGTAAACGTAAGTTACAATTAGCTTTCTCTGGGATATCATCGTTTTCAGATTGGTTGCTTATATACTTGCTGAATTTTATCTATCTAAACCCACTACTTTTATACAAAATTGTATATATATTAATTTTTGTATAAATTTGACAAAGTTGTATATCAATTTCTAGAGATAGGAACATCAGATATAACTTTCATGGGTCGCGATCGAGAGCTAAAGTGATTAGCCTTTCAGCCTATACCCCCTTTCATTTTTCCTTTACAGTCCCTTTAAAAGAACATTTTCCCGCCCCCCCCCCCCCTCCTCTATGAAGGACACTGACACATTCGTACATGCGTAAAATGTTTGGGTTCGTATTTATCAAAATTCTCTTATCTCTTGAAACAACGGTCTGTTTAAACCCAGGCTGAGATAAATATATCCTAAACCTATCTCATATTCTTCAAGTTTACAACAAACCTGAACTTATGGTTTACATGAATATTTTATCTAGAAACACAGGGGTTCATATCCAACATGCTAACAACATTGTCTTGCATACACATTTATAAATATACTAACTTGGGAACCCAGTTACTCCTGCCATTTACCCGCAATTGAACGATTTTACCGGGAAACTAAATTTTCATCTTAGAATCTTCAAACCAAGCTAAGAACATTCCCAATGTTACCCAATACAAATTTGAGGCAAATCGGTCCAGGAGTTCCTGAGTTATGATCGGAAAAACGAACAGACAAACAGACAAACAGAGATTACAACTTTATATATTTCTTTGCATCTAACAAACGTCATGATGACGGTTAAGTTTGTTGTGGGAACTCCCTAGAACGCAGAAAAGGTTAAGATTTTTGGCCGATTGGAATTCAAGGATGTCACTCAAATTAAATTTTTTTTTTTAAATTTAGAAAATTTTCAATCTAAACAGGTAAATCTGCTAAAAAGTTCGTTCTCATGTGTTTATAGAAACAAAAACAAAAATGCTGGTAGATAAAGCAACTTATAAAGCCAAATAGAGGCGGCCCGGAAGCTATGATACATAAATGATTTTTAAACAATAAGCTGATTCATCAAACAAAAGAGGCCAATGTTTGTTTACAATAAGTGTACTGCAGGTTCTGTTCTGTAATCAATTTATAAAATAATCATATATGCTTAAATTTTTTTCCAATGTGAGATTTATTGACTATGCGTGTTGTGGTGAGTGGATCCTAAAGAACTATTTAGATATGAAAAAATATCATGAACGTATCAGTTTTATTTATTGTAGAATAGGATGATAACTCAAACAAGTTAGACCTAGTTGTATTGTAAGGGAAACCACCTAGTTGTATTGTAAGGGAAACCACCTATTTGTATTGTAAGGGAAACCACCTAGTTGTATTGTAAGGGAAACCACAATCATATCGAGGAGCAACATAGTTTAAACGCATCTTTGGAATAATTTGCAGACATCTCTACATAATTAACGTGCCATACATATTTATTGTTTATTGTGTAGTGTTTTCTGTTCATTTTGTCCTGATTTACTGTGTATGGTGTACTTTTTTCTGTTTATTATGTAATGTTTTCTGTTTATTGTGTATATTTTTCTATTTACTGTATACTGATATTCTCTGTTTATTGTGTACTGTTTTCTGTTAATTGTGTACTGTTTCATGTTCATTGTGTACTGTTTTCTGTTTCTTGCTACTGTGTTCTCATTATTATGTGATGTTTTCTGTGTATTTTGTGCTGTGTTCTGTTTATAATCTACTGTTTTCTGCTTATTGTGTACTGTTTTCTGTCTTTTGTTCACTGTTTTCTGTTAACTGTGCAATGTTTTCAGTTAATTATTCCCTGTTTTATGTTCTTTGTAAACTGTTTTATGTACTTTTAATGTTTTCTGCTTATTTTGTACAGTTTTCTGCTTATTTTGTACTGTTTTCTTCTTATTTTGTACTGTTTTCTTCTTATTTTGTACTGTTTTCTGCTTATTTTGTACTGTTTTCTGCTTATTTTGTAGTGCTTTCTGCTTATTTGTAAAGTTTTATGCTTATTTTGTACTGTTTTCTGCTTATTTCATACTGTTTTCTGCTAATTTTGTACTGTTTTCTGCTTATTTTGTACTGCTTTCTGCTTATTTCGTACTGTTTTCTGTTTTTTTTTGTGCTGCTTTCTGCTTATTTCGTACTGTTTTCTGTTTTTTTTGTATTGTTTTCTGCTTATTTTGTACTGTTTGCTGCTTATTTTGTGTTTTCTTCTTTTTGTGTACTGTTTGCTGCTTATTTTATACTGTTTACTATGTACAGTTTACTGTGTACTGTGTACTGTGAACTTTGTTGATGTACTAACCTAGAACTTGAAGAGTGTTTGTTTGTAGAACAGGTTCCCCCGAGTTTTCTACTTCACAAATATAGTTGCCAGCATCATCCCTGTTCAGATGTTTTATCTCAAGGTTTATGCCATCCACTCCACCTGCAGTAGTTAACTTAAAGGGAACGTCATCGTAATTTGAAGCATGCACAATGGTACCCTTTAAACCTTAATCTGAGTAACAACCAGAAAGTTTTCTTCGCTTTGTATTTATATTTGTATTACACTGACATATCATTAACCCGCATATAAGTTTTAAGAATGAACCACATTAGGATAATACAAATTTTTAGAGAGAAAACCAGGCGGTTTATGCTGTTAGTTAAAAAAAAACAACGACGTTACTCACAAATGACGAGACTTAACGCTGACCTAAAACTGTAAACGACAATTTAAAATCAATATTTGGTTAACTGTGCGCGTCACAAATCAATATTTGGTTAACTGTGCGCGTCACAAATTAAGTTATCCAACAGTATATTAAATGCGTTGGCCCCGAAATCATGTAAAAATTAAAAATAATCAAAATCCGCACAATCATCAAATTCGTTCAGGGTGTTTCATGAAACATGAGAGTTGGTGAATAGTTCTTCCATATACTTTATGAGATATTAAAGACTTTTTGCATTTTATTTCGTGACATTTTTTTACTCAGATATATTTTGCTATAATATTACTACCAAGTGATGTTTTTATTATTCTCTTTGGTATCAAAGAACTTAACAAAGTATAGAAGAAGACATCTAAACTATTCATCAAATGTCATGTTTCGTGGGACACCCTTTCTCTTTTGCTATAAAGCTTATCAAATATCCGATGTTATAAATTAATCTAAGGTTTCTATTTTTTACTAACCTATTAGAGCCATTCTCTTATCTTTTCTAATCATCCCCATTCCAGCACTGATTATTCGGTCCGGCTGTTTCCACACAATGATGGAGTCTCCTAAAAAAGAAAGAAAAATAGAAAGTACAATCTTACAGATTACCTTTTGTCACAAAAACCGGTTTTGTAAAGTTCATTTATGGAGTAGTTGGTGCATGTACCAGACCAAACCGGTTTTAACTGTACTGTATACTGTGGTGTTGCTCACACTACTCACACAATGATAACCAAGCCTGGAATTGTTGGTTTCGATACTTAGTTCCTAACTAATTAAAAAACGTTCAAAAATATTTTTAAAATAGTAATGCACAATATCGTGTTAAATTTTAATCATTATATTTAAAGGTTAATTTAAGTTTAATTTCACTTTCAGAACTAAATTTTCCATTTCTACAGAATTCCAGGTTTATGTGAGTCTGAAGATATGTGTGGTTATATTAAACAAATTGCTGTATTTTATCTATGTACATTTATACACCAGCCTAATATAGTATCTACATAAATATTCATTGAACGTATGTACATTGTATTTAAATGTCTGTATTCTCTTCTTAAAAGAAAGCGAAAGAAAACAGTTTTGAATATTTATATTTCCATTTTTACAACATTTATTTCTAACCCAACAGACTGAAAAATGTCAAAATGGTTAGAAACTCAAGATTTCTTTAATCTATCATGTAAAAATGTGTTTACATTTTTTACAGTTGAATTTGAAATTTCATTTGTTCAACAGTATTTACAGTACAACACAATGTTAACAAATTGTCGTAAAAAGGAAAATTGTATCAAAGAGACTATTAAAGGGAATGTTCGCGAAAAATGTAAGGATGTTTAGGCTGATATCGAATTAAATTTTAAATTGATTGTTTCTAATTTTACAGTCATCTGTAGCGTATATAGGGAAAAATGATTAAAAACGTCTTATCCTGCAAAGATCGTAAGACCCATACAAATCCACGATCTGTATTATTCAACTAAGATAAGAAATACGTATATTTTTGATAAAGTGCAAATAAATATATAGTTTTGCAGTTTTTGTGTCTCAACTAACAGATATCAACAAGTTATATGCAATATCGGTTTCAATAAGTTGTCCTATCTATGAAACGTCCCAACACCCGTTTTTAAACTGTAAAAAGTTTTAAACTATAAAAAATATCCTTCATTGTTTCTGCTGTATAAACGTGCAAGTCATTTATATAAAAAACCAGAATTATAAATAATCAATTTTAGCTAAAATAAAGACATTATTAATTTTCTGTCAGACAAAAATATACCGTAAATTAAGCATCATTTGAAATTACATATTCATTTCCTTTCAAGGGTATTCTTGTTCAAAACTAGATAAAGCTAAATTTCAATCATAAAAAGGCTCATTTATAATGTTTTATACTTTGTTAACTATAAAGCATGTATTATGCATTAATAATTACAGTAATGGATATAAAATTACACCGTTATGCATATTAAATGGATCAAAGCTATAATATTTACACTTTAACCCTCTAGAAGTAAGACAAATTATTCCATGTATTTCAGGTTTAAAGAGACTGTATTCCATGTATTTCAGGTTTAAAGAGACTGTATTCCATGTATTTCAGGTTTAAAGAGACTGTATTCCTAGTATTTCAGGTTTAAAGAGACTGTATTCCATGTATTTCAGGTTTAAAGAGACTGTGTTCCATGTATTTCAGGTTTAAAGAGACTGTATTCCATGTATTTCAGGTTAAAAGAGACTGTATTCCATGTATTTCAGGTTGAAAGAAACTGTATTCCATGTATTTCAGGTTTAAAGAGACTGTATTCCATGTATTTCAGGTTTAAGGAGACTGTTAGCGTAATTTCAAGTAAATCTCCATGCAGAGATTGCAATGCCCGATTTACAACAGTGCCCTTAAATGCTTTGTCTGACCAAGCATGCGTAAGATATCCATGCTTATAATTTGATTATTTTCATTCGTGGGTTCTCTGTAAGAGAGATATGCGCATTTATACTGCAGAAAAATATAAAGGAATTCTCAGAATTTGCCACTTATAAAATCTTGATAAAATAATTTTAATCAAATAAAGGGTTTAAGGGTACCGATGAAGAAAAACAAATGCTGGATCTATCTACTGAGACATGTCAAATTTTATATTTTGCGGAAAATTCAAAATAAACGTTTTGCAGTGAAGATAATAATAATAGTCATTAATTTATCACAGTGTAATCTAATGTTGTGTTATACTTTATGATATTCTCTACGTATGTCATACTTTATGTGATTGTTTAACTCTCGCTGCTTTAAAAAGCAGATAGAAATTCCAAAATAATATGTGTTTAAAACACTCTTTGGAAATCGATGAACGAGAGAAAATATAGTTGAATTAGCGCTAACTAGTTCAACTTCTTCTCTATAGTTGAATTAATGCTGCCTAGTTCAACTTTTTCTCTATAGTTGAAATAGCGCTATCTAGTTCAACTTCTTCTCTATAGTTGAATTTGCGCTACCTAGTTCAACTTCTTCTCTATAGTTGAATTAGCGCTATCTAGTTCTACTTCTTCTCTATAGTTGAATTAGCGCTAACTAGTTTAACTTCTTCTCTATAGTTGAATTTGCGCTACCTAGTTCAACTTCTTCTCTATAGTTGAATTAGCGCTATCTAGTTCAACTTCTTCTCTATAGTTGAATTAGCGCTACCTAGATCAACTTCTTCTCAATAGTTGAATTAGCGCTACCTAGTTCAACTTCTTCTCGATATTCATTTAATCTGATCTCAGTATGGTAATAAACATTTATGCAGATGTGCACACAGAAGAGCAAATTAATAAAGGTGCCAGCAAATATATAAACAATGAACGGATTTGGCAAACAATCAAAAGAAATGGAAAAGGTTTAATTTATGATGTTGTTCTTGGTATTATGTTGGAGGAGGTTTTGGCTGTGATCTTTCTCAAAATAATTTTTCTTTTTTCTAGGCAGGTTGAATCAGAGGTGTATTCAGGGGGGGCTATGGGGGCTCCCTAAACAAATTAAGCCACCCTGGACGAATTATTGTATATACCCATGGGTTGCATGTAGGTGGGGATGGTGCAGGGTGGGGAGGGATTAGAAAGGGCGTGTGGGAGGCAACATAGATTTAGTCTGCTTATAGATAGTCTCATCAATTTTTGACTTTGAAGTTTCATAGCGCCCTAAGTTTAGATTTTAACGCTCTAACTAACTTTTCTGTAGCCCTTTACATATACATTTTAGCACTATAAGGCACTTATTGTTAGCTTTGGTTTCTTAGAAGTAATTGGCAAAATTCTCAACAATTTAAGCTTGATAACGTGAGACCATTAAATCGCAGTGGAGATATAGAAGAAGATATTTTACCAAGATTATTAACTTTACAGAGAAGTAAAGCTGTTGTCCCAAGCTCCTCCTTGTAAACCCTAGGTCCTGACTTGAAGGTTGGAGGTATCCTAGATCCTGGATCCTTTATCTTATTTCTCCTGGTTCCACCAGACTCAACTCCAGAGCCCAAATATTCACTACTATTACTCATGTCTAGATAACACATTAAGTTATAATCAGAGTATCAAAATTTAGGAATCATTGTAAAACCATTCTGAACAATGTAAACAGTGTTAATCGATGAAAAAATACATATTTCAAAATTTTGTTTCCTTTTACAACTATATTCTGTAGTAAAATGTGATACAAAAACATTTTGTAAAAAAAATAATTGAATATGTCATTACGCACATTCTTTCATGGTTTCATTATTTTGAAATGTTTATAGGTGATCAATACAATTAACGTTTATACAATTTCATACTTGATTTAGATTTAAATTTATAATTTTAGCGAGATTTCAAGTGCCTGTGTTATTATAACTCTAGAAAAGTAAATATTTTTGCATTGATATGACCATGCTAAAATATTACAAGTCAGCACAAAAAAGTACTTTTAGGATTTTAAATTTTTCTAAAAAAAGAGAAAACTATTGAAATGATGAATATTTTGCATTAAAAAGCTTGTTTAAGTTTACTAGATAAGAAAACTTATATTGCTGGAACAGATAAGACTGTAATTTCCTCCTTCCAGGGGATTAAAAGAATTAGGTGGGAGGGGAGAGGGAGCGAGGAGGAGGTGTGCGAGGGGGGGAAGGGGATTGACTGAACACACTAATTTGACAATCCGTACAAAGCAAATTGGTTTTCTCATTTACCAGACACCAGAGGTTAAAGATAAATAAAACTATCAGAAACCTTGAGAATCAGAAAACTGTATCAACAGATTGAAATGATGCTGAGTTGTCCGATATTATATTCATAAAATAATCTAATATTTTGTAATATTTCTTCTGGAAGGTTAGAAAATTGGCAAAAAATATCACAATATTCTAAACTATGTCTGGGAGGGGAGGGATCAAATTGTTGAACCCTCCCCCCTCCTCCCTTTTAAAAAATATTCATTAGATTTCCCATTCCTATAAAATAAATTTCAATAATAATGTTTAACTGTTTACTTACTGAAGGGCAATATGAGAATGAAGATTATGAAAACTTGGACAAAGTTGGTTGAAACTTCTCTTCTCAGGTTTAGTTCTGCCAGCATCCTAGGATACAATATAGGTTTAATGTACTAGCATCCTAGGATACAATATAGGTTTAATCTACTATCATCCTAGGATACAATATAGGTTTAATATACTAGCATCCTAGGATACAATATAGGTTTAATATACTAGCAACCTAGGATACAATATAGGTTTAATATACTAGCATCCTAGGATGCAATTTAGGTTTAATCTGCCAGCATCCTAGGATACAATATAGGTTTAATCTACTAGCATCCTAGGATTCAATATAGGTTTAATCTACTAGCATTCTAGAATACAATATAGGTTTAATATAGATATAGATTTTGAATATATTTACAGAATTGGAGGGAATAGTTTTACATTGTATTTTGTATTAGATAATCTAGTATTTAAAGCTCCCAGAGGAAATCAGACTTATGTAATTGCAATTTCATTTTTTGGAAATTACCCTCCAGAATTTGAGTCCTTTAGGTCATCGTTAAAGTGATTTTTTTCCCTAATCAATTTTGTTAAATCTTTTTTATAAAGGGAATGTAGGCGCAATTCTAAGTGACCCTTCCGCTGATTGATAACATGGAAGATAGAGTGTTTTTTTTTGGGGCTTGAAAAGTGCTTAATTCTGAAGATTTCTTTCTCGTTTCTGAAGTAAAAATACGTGCGTCAATATTGTTGGCAAACCTAAAGATGAAAATAAGCGTTTATGGGTCCGTTGTGCATAGGACATGCAACTCTATCAATAAAGGGTCACTTGAAATTATGCATACAGTCACGTTGAGGGTTAGATAAAACATAAGCAAAAAGTTGTACTAGTGTCTGGTGCTAAAAGTTAGAAATGTGTCTCATACACTTGAAGTATTTTTGCAAAATTTGCTCTATAGTGTAGTTAAGGTTTATTCAGTGAACCTTTAGCTAAAGTTTCCAGCAAGGCTTTTGTTTTTCTTCTTCTTTTATAATGAAGGAAATTAGTTTCTTTCCATTCTCCTGGAATAACCTGAACCTAAAAGAACAATGCTTGTCTTACAAACCATACAATGAAAGCATAAATGCAGAAGGAATATGAAAAGGATGGGAACAGCGTGTATTTTTTATCTTTCAAATGATTTTTGTTTTGCGTTTTATTTTTAAAATAAAGTTTACCGAAATAAATGATTAAAATTTAAAGGAACTGGGGCACAAGGTGTTCCGCGTCCATTAAGAGCTTTTAAAAAATATATTTTATATATGAAATAAAGGAAATGAGTTAGTAACACAAACTTAAAGGAATTTAGTATTTACCACAAAATTAAATTTTGTAATCTCTATATCCTTGCAACCTGATGGTCTAATCTTTGATATTTCGAACTAGGTTATTTGATCCAACAGAATTTATAGTCTGAAATATCTAAGATCTCAGAGATTGAGTTGCAAATGATACAGGGATTCAAAAATCAGAGTTTGTGCCAGAGACTCAATTCCTTTGCAAATATTTTTATCTTTGCAACCTGGTGTTATACCTTTGATATTTCAAACTTTGGTTATTTTTTCTAAATGCAGAATATTTAGTTTGAAAAATCAAAGATAATTGACATTAGGTTGAACCCACCTTTGGTCCATATTTGGTTTTAAAAGGAACTGAGTTTTTGTCACAATCTGTACTTTACTAATCTCTATATCTTTGTGACCCAATGTCGTAAAACTTTGATATTTCAAACTATGAATTCTGTTAGACCAAATAATCTAAGTTTGAAATATCAAAGGTTTACATAATCACAAGATATAGAAATTTATAGACAATTTGAGCTTGTGACAAAAACTCAGTTACTTTAAGACTAAAATGTGATTAAACGGAGGTTTAGTTTTTGTAAAAACATAACGATTTACTTTGATACACGGTACATAAATAGATATTTATAATGATGTTTTCTTTTTTGTTTATTTTTCTCTGAAGAGAAACTAATTTGTCTAGCTAAGAACTATATACAACTATCTAATTTGTCTAGTTAAGAACTGTATACAACTATCTAATTTGTCTAGTTAAGAACTGTATACAACTATCTATGAATCAAGTATTCTAAATGTTATTAAGTATGCCAAAGTACCAGGCTTAAAATCTCTGCAGACGAAATTTCAAGATGGGATTGCCAGATTCACAATATTACTCATTAAACCTTTGTCTGATGAAGATATCATAAAGATTGCCTAGTGTTTCTTTTTAAAAATTGAAGATTTTCAATTTTGGTTTCTCTATAAAAGTGACTGGGTTTATGCAGAAGAGACTTGGAATAAAATTTTAAAATTTTTACACTTTTCCAGATAAATTTTACAACTTTTCTATTTTTAAATTTTTAAATTTTTAAATTTTTATGTAACTCTTTATACAGGGTGTCCTTTTACTCTTTATACAGGGTGTCCTTTTACTCTTTATACAGGGTGTCCTTTTACTCTTTATACAGGGTGTCCTTTTATCTAACTACAGGATGTCCTTTTAATCTTGCCAATTTTCAAATTGCTGTAAATGTGTTATTGTTTAGAATTTTTCCTATCTTTAAACAAATTTGAGTAATCAAAATATGAACGTTTTGTTTTAGAACTTGATTCACTTCTTTTTCTGTAACAAGAGTTAAAAATGACCACCATTGTCTTAAATGCAAAATTCAGCTTTAGTGCAAGCGAAAATTGACAAAACTCTCAAGAGAATTTCGACCGAGTTGGCTCTGAAGAGTAAAAACTCTTCAACGAAAGGAGGTATTGACAAATTTTTAAAACTCTGAGGTAGCTCTTGACCTTGGCCATTTTCTTGCAAAGTTAGATTTATCTAAACCCCAAAGAAAGGTGAAACTGCGCGTGAAATGTTTTTTCAAAATACCGGCGTATGGGGAAACTAAATTTGTGTTTTTTTTCTGCAGTGCATATTGCAAAACGTTCAATTTACAGTTGCTCAAATCTTTTTACAGATTGTAAAAATTCCAAAAAATGACAGAGAAATAGCTGTTTAAAAATTGTCAGAATTAAACGGACACCCTGTACGTACAATGTGCATGGATTGCTATTGGGTACAAATATGATTGCTGTTATGTAGGTTGTGGAAGATCTGAGGAAACAAACAAATAAATCAATTTGAAAATTGTTCCTTTAACTTAAAATTCAATAAGAAATAATTTGTTTCAAAGTTATATAAACTACAGTTGACATTCGGATCAATCTGTATACAACTATCTAATTTGTCTAGTTAAGAACTGTATACAANAAACTAGATTCTAGCAATGAAAATAAGAACTTCTAAAATTTTCAAAAGTAGAAAAATTGAAACAAAGTGGTTTTAAGTGTCTTATCAAAACAATTTTGATGGGTAGCTTGTATTGTATTGATAGAAGAAGACAGTATATGCAAATATATGCATATTTTATAAGGTGTAGAGAAGAATCTTAAACACCAGGGGATTTAAACACTAAACAGTTTTTTTTATTTTTTGAATTTTCAATTGTTGAAAAGAAGAAAACATTGCGGCAAATGTCGCAAAACTTTGGTGACACATATCTCAATCCACAAGATTATATTGTGGCGCCTGACTTGCTTTAGTGACACATATCTTCATCCACAAGATTATAATGTGGCGCCTGATTTGCTTTAGTGACACATATCTCCATCCACAAGATTATATTGTGGCGCCTGATTTGCTTTAGTGACACATCTCAATCCACAAGATTATATTGTGGCACATGAATTGCTTTAGTGACACATATCTCCATCCACAAGATTATATTGTGGCGCCTCATTTGACCCCATCGAAGGTTTGTGAAATTATGTTCGTTCGATAGTTAAAACTTTTGGTTTTGGCAAATTTCGATAACATTTTTATTGTAATCATCTATTGAAATCAGAAAAATTCGCAACATTTTTTAACAAAATCCTATGATTATTACTAGAAAATAGTAAAGTAATAAGTAATAAGTAATATACTGATTTCTAATATATTCTATGTTTATTTGCTTTCAGTTAACACAAGAATCTACCAAAATATTTATAGCTTTCCACAAATATGTATAATTATATCAAATATATGTATATAAAAACCCAAACAACTTTTATGGTGTTTACACATTGTTCCCTGCTTTTGCAATATTCAATTATACACGGTATGCATTGTATACGGAGAAAACTGTATATTTATAATCATCAATATTTGTATTTCACTCTAGTCAGACAAATATCAAATGGGTAAAATTGTTCAATCCTAAGTATATATATCTATGATATAATGTATGCAATCAACAATTTATATATGACATATTTATAAATACAATATCGTTACCTGTATACCCTACTCCATGATATTTGATGAAGAATCCACGAACTTTTTAATTTCTTTCCTTTTTATATAAATTCTGAAATGAACTGAGGATTAATGAGTTTTAGTTTGGATTCAATTAACACATTGTGAAGAAATACTCGGCTTTTCAGAGAGATTAATGCTCAAATTTATAATTTGGACTGCCACTGTTTTATCAAACTCAATTATCATTTAATCATTTATTTCTATCAATTTATCAAGTCGACAATCATCATGTATCAAGGTTCAGTGATTGATTGATGAAACTTCTTACTTAACCATTGTTAAATAGATATTATTGGATTGCTACGAGCATGTGAAGCTAAAAATAATGATCGATTGTGACATTCTTCAGCTTTTATTAAAGTTGACTTATTTGTTGGACAGTGAGCTAAACAGTGAGCTGAACAGTGAGCTAAACAGTGAGCTGAACAGTGAGCTAAACAGTCAGCAAAACAGTGAGCTAAACAGTGAGCTAAACAGTGAGTTTAACAGTGAGCTGAACAGTGAGCTGAACAGTGAGCAAAACAGTGAGCTAAACAGTGAGTTAAACAGTGAGCTAAACAGTGAGTTAAACAGTGGGCTAAACAGTGGGCTAAACAGTGAGCTAAACAGTGAGCTAAACAGTCAGCTAAACAGTCAGCTAACTGGTGAGCTAATCAGTGAGCTAAAGAGTAAGATAAAAAAGTTTGACTTAGAGTGTACAGCTTTTATATTGATAAAAAATAATCTAAAACTATAATGTTAAATAGTCAGCGAAAACCAGAAAGCTCTGGAATAGGAAGACGACTTTATAGAAATACTTATACACCTAAAAAATCACTAATTAAGTGAAACGGGTCTATTTACACTGCACATATACTGTGTCTCGTGCTCATTGGAGTATTTAAAGGTAAAAAGTGGTTTTCCTATTTCAGAGTTTTCTGGTTATTACTGTAAGAGGTTGTTATTTTTAGAATATAAAAATCTAGAACTTGAACTCATTTAAACAATATTTTATTAGAAATAAATCTGGTTTTCAAGGGTTTATATAAAATATAAAAATGGGGAAAATTTCTGATAAAATTTTGTCTGCAACCAGTTTTCCTTAAATATTCCCCGAGGGAAAAATTTTAAGAATTTAAAAGAAATGTCTTGTTCGAAAAGGAACTCTCAATCACTAAATTGGATCAAATCAAAGAAAATTAGACATTTTGCAATTTTGCAACTTTTCTAGGGATTTCTGGTTTTAATGTATAACAGTAGAAGGTGTAAAAAATGTCCCATGGAAACGAATAAGATGTGAATTATGCTATATTATTGAACTATAGTTAGGAGGAAAATGATGGTGCAAGGTGTAAAACGATTTAAAATGTTGTTACAATATGTTTTGATGAGTAAATTTATGCAAAATGCTGTAATGGCGTGTTAAAAAAAATATTAAGAAAAATATGAACAAGATGAAGTGTTGTTTAGAAGAGTGATCTCGAAATAAATTTTAGCACGAAAAATAAAAGCTATAAGAATAGTTGTTACGATGAATAAAACTGAGAATTAATATTGTTACGAAGAATAAAAATGAGAATCAATGCTGTTACGATGAATAAAAATGAGAATTAGTGCTGTTACGATGAATGAAACTGAGAATTAATGCTGTTACGATGAATAAAAATGAGAACTTCTATTGTTACGATAAATAAAAATGAGAATTAATGCTGTTACGATGAATAAAACTGAAAATTAATGCTGTTACGATGAATAAAACAGAGAATTGATGCTGTTACGATGAATAAAACTGAGAATTAATGCTGTCACGATGAATAAAAATTAGAAATACTATTGTTACGATGAATAAAGCTGAGAATTAATGCTGATACGATGAATAAAAATGAGAACTACTATTGTTACGATGAATAAAAATGAGAGTTAATGCTGTTACGATGAATAAAACTGAGAATTAATGCTGTTACGATGAATAAATTGAGAATTAATGCTGTTACGATGAATAAAAATGAGAATTAATGCTGTTACGATGAATAAAAATGAGAATTAATGCTGTTACGATGAATAAAAATAAGAACTACTATTGGTACGATGAATTAAAATGAGAATTAATGCTGTTACGATGAATAAAAACAAGTTAAAATATTCTTACTAAAAAGAGAAATGAACTAAAATGTTGCTACGATGAAAATAAATGTGAAAAATGTTGTTGTGAAGAATCAAAAACGAAGAAAAATGTTGTTGCGAAGAAAATAAAGAAGAAATATCTTGTTGTTACAATATTGATTTAAAAAAAACTTTGTTAGAATTAAGATTCTATATATTGTAAAGTTCTAATTAGAATAATAAAATCTTGTGCTGCCCCTCTATAATATTGTAAAGTTCTAACTAGAATATGAGCCTGTGTTGCTCTTCTGTAATATTGTAAAGTTCTACCTAGAATATGAGCTTAAGTTGCTTCTCTATAATATTGAAACGTTCTAACTAGAATATGAGCTTGTGCTACTCCTAATATTGTAAAGTTCTAACTAGAATATGAGCCTGTGTTGCTCCTCTGTAATATTGTAAAGTTCTAACTAGAATATGAGCTTATGTTGCTTCTCAATAATATTGAAACGTTCTAACTAGGGTATGAGCTTGTGTTACTCCTAATATTGTAAAGTTCTAACTAGAATATGAGCTTGTGTTGCTCCTTTGTAATATTTTTAAGTTCTAACTAGAATATGAGCTTGTGTTGCTCCTCTGTAATATTGTAAAGTTCTAAAGAGAATCTGAGCTTGTGGTGCTATTCTATAATATCTTAAAATTCTAACTAGAATATGACCCTCTAATGCTCCTCAATAAGATTGTAAAGTTCTAACTAGAATATGAGCCTGTGTTGCTCTCCTATAATATTGTAAAGTTCTAACTAGAATATGAGCTTGTGTTGCTCTCCTATAACATTGTAAAGTTCTAACTAGAATATGAGCCTTTGTTGCTCTTCTATAATATTGTAAAGTTCTAACTAGAATATGAGCTTGTGTTACTCCTCTATAATATTGTAAAAGATTGAAGTTAGAATCTAAATGGAAAATACTAATCTTTTAAAAGGACTTAAATGACACATATCATGAAGGGTTCACATTGTATTACATTCTGGACAGGATAAGACCTAAACTTGGAAGAGATCTTTTAGTTTAAAGGTTTTTTTTTGTGCGAAGACTGGTTACTTGCCTCAAACAGTTATTTTGCAATCCCAATAAATTTTCTAGCTGATGTTAAATAACCTTTGACGTTTTCACAATTTCTTGTTTAATTTATAGCAGAATTCATAAATTGATATATTTGAGGTCTGCAATGTCAGGTTGTAAAGATGGAGCAGAAGGTGTCAGTTCTCAGTTTCTTTATGCCCAGGGAAATTAATTACGGTCAGTTCAGCTACAAAAAGATGTTTACTATGGCTAGTTCAGCTACAAAAAGAGGTTTACTATGGCTAGTTCAGCTACAAAAAGAGGTTTAGTATGGCTAGTTTAATTACAAGAGAGATTTAGTATGACTAGTTCAACTACAAGAGAGAATTAGAGTAAGGCTAGTTCAACTACGAGAGATATTTAGAACAGGCAGTTCAACTAAGAGAGAAGGGTTTAGTGCGGTTAGTTCAAATACAAGAGAGGTATAGAGTACGACTAGTTCAACTACGCGAGAGATTTAGTGCGGTTAGTTCAACTTCAAGATAAAGTAGAACGGATAGAGATTTTTTTGAGAGAGAGGTTTATGAACACAATAATCATAAGCTTAAATTTAATTTTAAGCACTTGAATTTCATCTATTGTCCTCTCATTTGAGGGATTTTCTTTATTTGTACCCTAATCCCCTAAATCCTTAAAACAAAATATTATTATTTGTATATTTGCAGCGAATTTAAGAAACAGATTCGAATTTAATTCAACTCAAAAATACTAATCAAAGAGAAAGTGTTAGTTTAGGGGGTATACAACTTAATCCAATGTGTACAGAGTGCAAAACTTTAAACTTCAGCGAATAAACTTAATATCCCTGGCACCGTCTAGCAAATAAAGAGGTATCCTAGCTTCTATATCTAAGGTTTAAAAGTGGTATCCTAGAATTTATCTAAGGTTTAAAAGATGAAGGGGAAATGAAATGTCTCAGCGCTGTATGTAATCAGGCAAGTCATTTATTTCAATCGGAAAAAATAGAATTTGTAAAGACCGTTTGAAAGAAATTAAAATTTTCCGTTCAATTTCGTTAAATTCCGTTAAATTCCGTTCAGTTCCGTTAAATTCCATTCCAAAAACAAATGGGCGGTATTGGAACAAAAATGATTTCTTATGTGTTTTATGATTCAAAATTATAAAACTTTTTTGGAATGAAAATATGTCTATTTTTATTTTGTACAAGGACGAAAATTCAGAGACGACTGTACGGAATGTATACTGGCTTTCTCCTTAAATTCATTATTTCCTGCCACTGAAAACTTTTTTTACTTTGCCAAACCATTTAGTTAGGCATTAAAAGATAATATTTAAGTTTAAAAACTTGAATCATCCTAGGGATTGTGATATTTTAACAGATTTAGGTCGTCTTTGTAGCATTATCTTTTGTGGGTAACCCTGTCTATATACAACTTCTAGCAATAGCAGAGATGTTTTAAATATAATATTTGTTGAGTTTACCCATGAATTCAAGTACAGTAGAGAAACCGCATTGAATTTTGAATTCACGTTAAACAAATTCTGTAAACATTTATCAATTTTACGTATTCTAAAGTTCTGTTAAAGGGAGTGACCGGCACATTTATCAATTTTACGTATTCTCAAGTTCTGTTAAAGGGAGTGACCGGCACATTTAACAATTTTGCGTATTCTAAAGTTCTGTTAAAGGGAGTGAGCGGCACATTTATCAATTTTACGTATTCTAAAGTTCTGTTAAAGGGAGTGACCGGCACATTTATAAATTTTACGTAATCTAAAGTTCTGTTAAAGGGAGTGACCGGCACATTTAACAATTTTACGTATTCTAAAGTTCTGTTAAAGGGAGTGACCGGCAATGTATGGTAGTTAAACTGAGATTGCAGTATTATTGAGAAAATATT